GAATCAACGGAGAAAGCGTTTGTGGAATTAATAAAGTGCGGAATAAATTGGCATGCAATTATGTTGGTTATTCTTTCATCAAAGATATTAAATTTTGGTTTCCCAACGTTAGTTGGCTGCACGATAAATATCCACAACTTAATATTATAATCGAACAAGAAACTGTGAAAGAGTTTCAAAATAAACTACCATTTGTATACATGATACCCGAAGGTAACTTGTGCACGATATTTTATGAAATATAATCACGTTAACTTACAGCTTATTATAGGGCGAAAAGATGAATATACAAGAGTCGTAGATTTTGTTGTCACTCTGGGAGGTGACGGCACTATATTACATGTGTCTTCACAATTCGATCATTCCGTCCCACCTATTATCTCATTCTCGATGGGGACGCTTGGCTTCTTATTACCATTTCGTATCCACATTTTGTTTTAATTTATTACATAAAGCTTTATATGTTCTTGACTATTACGATCGTATCGTTAGATATTCGACAGTATGAGTCGGCACTGGAGTCTTTGATCAAAGGTGACGTCTCTTTATTACTGCGAATGAGATTGACATGCTCAATGTGGAACGCAGAAAGAAAAAGAATTGTGCGGAATGATAAAGAAATTGGTATTCTTGGTATTCTTGTGTTCTTACCGTTAAGGGAACGATTGTTTTTACGTCAAAATATATTGAATTAGGAAATTTACAAGCCATGAATGAAGTAAACTTACACAGAGGACGATTTCCGCATTTGACAGCAATTAATTGCTTTGTTGATGAACAATTCCTAACCAATGCAGTGGTATTTTCTCAAGATACTTTTCTCTGCCTTTATTTTTACTTCAAAAAAGCTGATCACGCAATCTCCTATCAGGCGGATGGCTTGATCACTGCTACACCTACCGGCTCAACTGCATATTCATTATCAGCTGGCACGTACTCAGTGGCGTCTAGTCATCAATGAATAGTATATAGAGGTTTATAATAACCTACATGCTACAAAGTTTCGTTTGACTGAAGCTAGCGTTTGTAATATGTAGGAAATACGCTGATAGTTATCATATGTGAATTTCCTATATGATTCCTATGCCTAAATATTTATTGGAAAACATACATATAATTGATGAATTGTTTGTTGTGAGCATTTTTCATCAATGCAGTCCCTTAAAGTATTTAGATAATATGGCTTTATGCAAAGCCGATGAAATCTTAAAACAGAAAGGCGACATTGATGAAATCGTTCACCCCTTCATGATAATCATAAAACTTTAGTGAATATATGACAACTTTTACACTGTAGGTGGTCCAATAATACATCCATCTGTACAAAGTATTTTATTAACACCGATTTGCCCACGATCATTGTCATTCCGGCCAATTTCATTACCACCAACCGCGAAAATCAAGATGAAGGTACAGATCTATGTATTAATTCAACTTTTCAGATTTCAGATCAATGCTAACAATATGTATTCATAAAAAAGATTAGTGAGGAAAGTCGTGCACCATTAGAGGTAACAGTTGACGGTAGAGTAATATGTATGTTAGATAAAGGAGATTGTTTAGAGGCAAGTATTTATTGATAACAGGTTTATTTATTTATTTATTTTATTTATCTATCTATTTACTAAATAGGTAGAAATGTCACCCTATCCAATTCCATGTGTTAACCGCGCCGGTGAGGGCGTGGATTGGGTTAGAGATATTAATGAGTTACTAAAGTGGAATCAGAATTTTGTGAATAAGCAGCTACTTACTCATTGGTGGTAAATATAATAGTGATAGTTAAATAAAAAATTACTTAGTATATAGTACACGTCACTCTGGTTGTATCGACATCTGACTATAACATTTTTTAACCTTTTATGCTTAATATAAAAATGCCTATGGTTAAGCCGACATGACTTTTTTTTGAGGTGTGGACATTTATACTAAAGTAGTTGATTTTAAATGCAACTTATTGAAATTTAAAAATTTAATATAAAAAAACTTATATATATTTGGGATCTTTGCTAGAAAAATAGTGTTCCGAAGTCCCTTTAATGAAAAAATGAGATTTTAGTTATATATAGGGTGTGCAACGGGCCGGGCCAAACCCGGCAATTTGCGGGTTGGGTTGGGCTTGGGCCGGGCCTGGGCTCAAAT